TTATGACTGATGGCATCTCAACTATCTGTCGGCTTCCAGCGACAGAGGTCACTTCTCCAGAGTTTGTCACATGCACAGATTGCTGTACAGACCGTGATGTGGGAAATTAATGATGAACAAGTTTGGTGAGGCATCATTATCATCTGTCGACTACAAGTTTCCTCCATTTAACCATGTTGCTTGGAAGCTCAAAGATCTGTTTCACTGAGAGTTGGTTATTATATTCAAGATTCAAGATTCAAGATGGATTTATTGGTTCTTCGCAGTTAAAAACAACTGAATTGTAGACCAATTTACAAAACATTAGTATATTAAAAACTACAGGTTTGCAATCAATATAGGCGTACGATTACCGGCAAACCAATAAAAATACATGTTCCATACATTATAACTTTCCCGGACAACATTTGATACAGAAAATTATAATCTTCCACTATAGTGGTGCACATACGCTTTTGGTTGGAATTCGAATAAAAAATAACAAGAACCCCTGGTAACTTCCAGATTTGACAGCTTAAAATTAAGATTAAAAAATCGTTCTTCCTTTAGACATACGTACACATGTATGTGTAACCGATTTATGATAAAGGTAGCCTGGGTGTCAGACTGTTTAGAATTTAACTCATGGCGCTGTGTTACAATTTGGCATGACGATGTGTAAGACCTTGGAGACAGTCTGGCATCCAGGCTACCCTTTGCCTTAACGGCTAAGTGCGATGAAGAGCTACTATCCTAGCAGATGTTGGTGGGGAAATTGTGACCTTTCTCTTATATGCCCCGCTTCTGTCGCTACTTCGGTTGGTTGGGAGTAGCGATAGAAAATGAGGCATATGAAAAAAGGTCACAATTTTCCCCACCACCATTTTCTTGGACCGTAGCGAAGAGCGGTTATAACTTATACGGCTGGCTGATACGGATACAGATACTTCACCATTGTTACACGATACCCTGTCATATCTGGATATAGTTCTAATAGTTAACTACAGAATGTGACAAGCTGGCGTTTTACTGATCCCTGTCAACCTCTGTAAAGCAAACCTGTGACTTGACACAGCCTTTCGTGGCATATTTGGCAAAGTCGTCGAAATGTGTACGTACATATACACGAGAACAATTTATTGGTTGGTCGGTTGACTTTATGCTGATGGCTAATACTAGCTGAATCTTTGCAGTACGGACTTCTGTATTATCACATGAGACATGAAATTGAAGATTTTAAGCCACCGGGAAGTATTTATAGTTTTTTTGATTGCCAACTTGACCTTAAGGTCAATCTGTGGTTACAAAATTCCCCCTACCCTCCTGCTACTCTAGTGCATACAAATACACACAAGGAAACACACAGATAAACACACCCAACATAATGCTAAAAGTACATCCGTCCCCATGAGGAAAAATATCGTTTTCTACAACTTTTTGTTTCAGAGGCTCATGACCGATGCACTGTAGCTCCACAGCCCACGTTGTTCACGTTGAAGGTTCAGATAATACACGTACGTGTGCGCCTTAGAGGTGACTGACCGCAAGTTGCGATGAGTGAAATGTGATATGTCAACTCACGGCCCAGACCGCGCTGACAAGTCTGTTTGATAGTCACAATGGCGGCCATGTTCTACTTCTAGTACTCAAGGGCTTGGAAAGGGAATGCTAACAGGAACGGTTAAAAACACGGCATGATGAAACATGATGATAACTACGCAAACACATAAAGCAGATTTTTACCACCAACTGTTTTAGTACTGTATGCCGTTAATGAAGTTTACTAGTAGCAGCCAGTCAAGTTCAAGCCCACCCGGCCCCCCACTGTGCCGGTCATGACCGGCTGATACCGGTCACAGCTAGGCTGACGACCTTCTATCGTTTGGCTACCCTCAGTCTGTGGCACACGATTGCAATTGGAGCTCACAAGACATAGCTTCATTTAAAATTAATAAGAAGAAAGAGAAAGAGTAAATACTTTATTTCTCATCAAGACCTCAAACGTTGATTTGGGCAGGCTGTCAGCAAACGATATATAGAAGATCCCAATCTTCCCAATCAAATTCTGATTAGTGCAACTTTTTGGTCGGTGGGAAAGATTTCTACAAAATGGCAATCACATTCCACATACAGCGCCTGGTATGGAGGCTATATACATCCATCAACTCTTTCTACGCTAAAGTCTTGCGCCTAGAATGCCCACCACGCGGTAACATGACCGTACAGCACTGCATCTTCCTCAAGCCATCCACGTGCGGTGTAATACCAGAAATTGTAATTCATTCAAGTGATATAAATCAATCAATCAGTCCACCAATCAGATGCCTGGATTACGTCGCATACGTGGTACAAAGGGTGTCCACCACAAACATGACTGTACAGCACTGCATCTTCCTCAAGCCATCCACCTACAGTGTAATACCAGAAATTGTCATTCATTCAAGTGATATAAATCAATCTATCAGTCCACCAATCAGATGTCTGGATTACGTCGCATACGGGGTACAAAGGGTGTCCACCACAAAAGGAAGGACGGCTGGTTTCCTTGTCATTTCGCGCCACGGTAGGGACTTGTTTTGCAAGCTACAGAGCAGATGTTTGAAATTGCCACATGTTACAGCGTGGGCGGTGAAGGCCTTTATTAGTCCCGCCTCCGCCACCGGATACTTATCCCATATATTCAATACATTTTTCATAAGCAGTTGTCAAATAATGGCCCTCATTACCACGACAGTGGGGTTTCTCAAATACCAAATGTATTCCGGAAACCAAGGAGGTTCAACTTGATTGAACCTCATTTGCTGAAACTTTTACAGCGTATTTATGGCAGATGGTCTGACGTCTAAAATTGTCCGACGAGTCCAGAAAGACAGAGAGAAAGAGGGACGGAGAGAGAGAGAGAGAGAGACAGAGAGAGAGAGACAGAGAGAGAGAGAGAGAGAGAGAGAGAGAAAACAAGCCAGATAGACAGATACTAGTAGATAGATCAATAGATAGATAGAGGGATGGATAGATATAGATAGCTTTTTGAGTACTATAATGTTATCTTAAGTTATCTCTAGTTCCATAACAGAGGGGAAAATGAAGAAAAAAAAACTAGAGTTCGGCCATTTCATACCTCCATGACAGGTTTCGCTGCAGTCCCAAGGCGTTCTTGAGTTATCTTGTTGACCAACAAATGACAGAATGACAGAGTGACAGAATGACAGACAAACGCAACTGAAAATATAACCTCCATGATTATCATGAAAGTTCATCTGTGTTGGTAGTAATCATAGTAAAACGTTAAACTTTATTCCAACACACAATAATTATCCTGATGAAGGCGACAGTGGTCGCTGAAAAGTCGATCCCTGTAAATTGTGTGTTGGAATAAAGTTTAACGTTTTACTATAACCTCCATGACATGTCATGGAGGTAAAAATGGTAAATTGCATGTTTTCTATTCACGGTTGATAGAAAATGTACATGTATTCTGAGTGTAAGGACCTTGTCTCATGTACACTGCATATGAGACCCGGTTGTGGTCGGCTGTGGCGGGTTGTGGTCGGCTGTGGCTGGTTGTGGTCGGCTGTGGCTGGTTGTGGTCGGCTGTGGTGCCAGTTCAGGCATACCGTAAAAAGCGGTCTGCAGAACGATATGATGTCAGGGACGATGTTTCATGACGTTTGAAATTTCCATCACTTGGTCGATAAGAAACATAAACAGATCTTATTACAGATGCCACGTGATTTCAAGCTGTTTATTGACTTGTTATTGAAACTAAAACTGAAAAAATCCATCTTAGTTGTGGAAATGAAGGGTTGAATTTCTCACAATTACTTAATGCAAGTAAAATCGATGTAAGCACCCTCAAACTAGTAAAAGTGCCTAACCAGACCAATACAGGGTTTAAACGTTAATTTTTTTTCGGGGAGCGACGCGAATTATGCCGCGGAGGGACGGTTTTGTACCCTGGATGCCAGTATTTGGAGATTAGATGCCACCCCATCGGACTCAAAGTCATGATCTTCCCGGCAAACTCGGCGGCAAAACCGTCCCTCCGCGGCATATTAAACTCGCGTCGCCCCCGGAAAAAAAATCAACACCACAACCCAACAAGTCTGGGAAGGAGGCTATATGGGTGTGGCTACGGCAAAGTATAGGTCTATGGTGACACATGAAAGAAGGGAGAGAAGTAAACAAAAGAAGACAATAAAAATAGAAGTATGAACGGAAAATTTCAGTATCTGAAAACTTGTCTCCATCCTTGAACCCCTTTATTTGTCCTCATCAGGCCAGGGCGTGCGACCTTGAAGTCTCCTTGTAAGGTAGCCAAACTCCAAAACCAACCAGTGAAAAATAAACGTCACACAACATTAACATATGAACATATTAATAGAGCATGTTGTTAGCTGTTAAGGCAATTGTGACATTGCATTACCCATACTCTTTTGCTGGCCCTTGACAAGGCAAGGTGTTGAGTTCCTTTGAAAATTAAAGATACTTAACGTTATACTTTGTCAGCTGTTTCGAACTCCATTATTTAATTGTTTTGGGTTCAAATTCACAATCAATCAATTACTAATTTTTATTTCAACTCTGCCGGGTTCTTTGTAAAATGCTGAGCTTGAGTCCCGAAAAGTGTTCCCAAGATTACCAAACATGGCGCATACGCAAGACCACCTTGCATAATCGTTAATCTGGGCACCTTTTGTATCTGCTAATAATCCAAGCCTTCCTTTATTTGGCTATGTGACAAGCTTTTCGCAGATTCAGGAAAATGACTTTAGTCAGTATAAGCTACACTTTCAACAACGTCGACAAGAATACACACTTCTCTTCTGTCATCACCTGCAACATATGGCTTCTAATAGGGATGCTTTATGATGACGTTCCACTCCTTTAACCTTTTGACGTCATAGCAAGTCACAGTGTCTTTTTGATTGGGGCAAAAATACCGACCAATCGGGTGGCGGCGTGAGCGCCACGTGACGACGTCTGGACCAATGATTGGTGTCCACATTTTACCACATGGTATGTGGGGCCGGTGTCGGCTGAGCGTCATTCACTGCAGCTGGAAGGTTGAGTCTCGCCGGTGGCACGAAGTGGACTTGGAGACCGTCCGCCTAGGAGGAGGGTTGAAACGGTCATACCGCAGCGACACGGTACCTGGGAGCTGTCGCCGATTCATCGTGGGGAGAGGCGACGAGAGGATTTCTCTTCTAGCCGGGTTGTAAGGGACCTTTTGGAAAGATGGATCAATCGTGGTGTAAGACCACGCAGGAGTGCTTGCAGTACTTCAACGTTCAAGAAACAGTAGGACTAACGCCAGCGCAAGTTAAAGTCGCCCAGGAGAAGTTTGGGCCAAACGGTACGCCGCTGTCCCCTGTATACCCCCCGTATTTTCCCGTGTACGATATCTCTACCCTACCGGTGCAGTCGACTTGTCTCTCCCGGCCGGTTGGTTGGGATGGGCCCGGCCGGCTATTATGGCCGTCGTAACCTTTGTCTAACGAAAGGGCATCAGACCTACCGCTTCAAACAAAACCTTATTTTCTTTAAAGGATATTTATATAGCATAGTTGTCTATCTAATCACTGGTGTATCTTTGTAGAACTCCTCTGTTCAAGGAAGCAAAAATAAGTGCTAGAATTGTGACCGAATGTGTGTTTCGAAATACACTGCCATGTGAGCGTGTGCTTTACTTCCTGTTTTAGAAATGTACTCCATTTTGTACCGAATGATGAAATTATACGTCAGCGTTGTTTAACGAATTTTCTCTCTTTCTCTTTTCCACGTCCAGAGCTGCCGGCGGAAGAAGGTAACCTTCAAAAACCTTTTATTCACGTTCGGTATTTGCGTGGAATTTTGCTCGGTAGAAATATGGCCGCCTTCTATTTTTGTCGTAAGGGGGAGGGGGGCGATATGTGGAACTAGGCAAACGTGTTTTTGTATCATCACGGTTGTGAAAATGTCTTATTTTGTCACTTTCCCCACACAGGCAAACCACTATGGCAACTGATTCTGGAGCAGTTCGACGACTTGCTCGTCAAAATTTTGTTGTTAGCTGCTATCATCTCCTTTGTAAGTTGCAAATATAATATTTCTCTATATGCCAAAGGTCAAACATATAATCCACCATATCAATAAGAAATTCAATCATACTTCTTTTGATAGCAGATTTTACAACGAAAAATTTATTACTGTAAGATAATTTTGTATTGAGCACTTTGTTGTACGTTATGCATTATGTAGTGTGAAACCTTTTAATTACCATTATAATTTATAGTCTATACTGTATTTGCTATGAGTATGATGTAAAAAATACATATTAAATGAGCCCAAAGAGATAGAAAGAAAAACTGCATGTCTATATGTACTCAAGTTTTTAGATGCTAAAAGCTGCATCTTGAAAGAATGGTGGCATTGTGTTTTTTTTACATAAGAGTTGTTATTTTTAAAGAAGTACGCATGTTTTGCTGAACCCCCTGCAGTCTGGTAAGGCTATCTCTCCTGGGCAGTTGTCCAACTGTCAATCATGTCCATATTTAGAAGTAGGTCACCTGTTTTGATCCCTTGCCATTGCTGGTCAGTGGAACACCATATCATGTATAAGGAGATAAAGACAGGCACATCTGTGCTTCTCGTCTATTTTAATGAAACAAAACTGATTAGCACCAACCAAATGATATTTGAATGAATTGAACTAGAATTATTTACATACATGTGTATTAAAATGTTACAAACAGTTCGTTGACTTATAATATAATTTTTTTTTCACAGATCCTAGCTTTCTTTGAAGAGGATGAGGAGTCAGTCACAGCCTTTGTAGAACCTTTTGTCATCTTGCTTATTCTGATCGCCAATGCAATTGTCGGAGTCTGGCAGGTTGGTTTTATTTTGATACTTACTGCACGTACGACATAGCAGTTTGCGAATTGGATTATATGGATGGACAAGTCATATTTTTATCATAATTGTCCAAAATGTGTGTATGTGTGGTGTGGTGTGTGTAGATGTAATTATGACATAATGTCAATGATTTTTGTGACATTTACCTCATAATGATATGGATGGGGGTGTTTAAAGAGATACGAAATGGATGGCATCATAAGCTAGAAGGAATTACGTATCTACGTTCCAAATTAGGGGCTACCATCAGTCTTCCTTTAGAGCTAGTCTCCTTCCCAGGGTTGACAGCAGCATCAGAGACATAGTTCTCACCAGGCTGTTTGAGCGTAGGGGCCCCCTACGCTGTGATTTTGACCCCCTACGCTGTGATTTAGCCCCCTACACTGTGTTTCAACCAGCGTAGGGGTGGTTTTTGGGGGCAGAAGCTTCATTAATCTTAAAAAAAATGAAAATATAACTTAAGAATGAAGCTATAACAGACTGAGGGAAAACAAAATCTGTCCCCCAATAAACAATAAATAGTGTCTTAAGTGGTTGATATGAGTTACAAATTTTTGGGGGAGAATATCAGGCCCATGTTTTGGGGACTCGGTACGTGACTTGCGCCTCAGAAAGTTGCCCTTCTATACCTGACCCCTACGCTGTGAAAAAATCCTGGTGAGAACCCTGAGAGAGGATCATGGGTGATGAAGTAGATAACTGTTGTTGGGGTGAGCCGAGCATGCTGGGATAGGTCCGGTCGCAGCTGTTTGGTGACAGATGTGAAATGAAACATGAAGTGTCAAGTGTGGTCGTTTTGTTTTTCTTCCTAATTGCTTTGTAAACGGACTTTTATAATGGGTTTGCCATTTTAGGTTTCCTATTATGGTTCTAGATCGTTTTAGACCCGATATCGGCTTCTTGCCCAATGAAGTCCCACAACATGCAATGATATTTAGCACCACCTACCTCTTAGGGTTGATAAAATGTATGACCAGTGCTTAATATATTATACGATGCAGGCGTTCGATGTTATGGCTGAAAAGGAGCTGTAAGGTCGTGTAACTCTAGCCAAGGAGGCTTGCCTCTCGTCAGCATATATGCCCAACTGTTACGTGCTCCAGACTAAAATAGCAATAGGCTTGGACAGCTGTTGAGAGATGCTGTGCACTTAAATGGTAGTGATCAAGCCAAACTTGTGGCCACAGAGGTCCTGGTGGTGCCTAGGCCTCTGTCAGTGGTAAACAGTGAAATTTCTGCCTTTGCCGTCCAACTTGGTCTAGCGACACTGTCCCTAGAGTTGACGTTGATTTCTTACCCTGTCAATAGTAGCCCTAGTTCTATATCTAAGTACAGACTGACCTTGGACCGTCCCACGGTCGGTATGGGGGTCAAATCTCTGACCATTCGTTGTCACGCGCGGTAACACCGCACAAATTCCGACCCCGGTATCTCTGATATTAATATGGGGTCAGAAACTGCAAGTTAGAGTATAGCTATGGAGTAGCGCACCTCGTATTTCATGTTGGAGAAGAGCTTCGTTACATAGTCTGATATAGTGTGACTAGCTCGGGGAGCGGTGTAGGTATTACTGTGGACTTATTTGGGTATCTGAAGCAGGGTGTGTCTTGTACAATATATAGGCAGCCTTCGGGGGAATCTGCAACGATTGGAACTTCTAATAGGCTTCGTCAGCCCTAATATCCTACTGTTACTGTGACATTTGAAGTGCAGCTTTGCACGTGCATGCGAAAGGAGGCAATACAGATCGATGTAGGGGAGCGCATTAACATTGATGAACAAGAAGAGGTCAACTACAGATGCCGCAATTAACTGTGAAATTCTGATAAATGCGAGGGAACCCCAATTTCTGCCAGAGGGAAAATGGAATTGCTCGTCGGCATAATGAGCTTTACTTACATGTTAATGTGTGCGTCGCAGGTTTTAATGAATGAGTACAAAAGCAAATGGAACAGGGTAACAGCATGTGTGGTAATTTCACAATCTGATTACTGGAGGAAATAGAATTGGAGAGAAGTGAAGGGTAATGAGGATATCTTTTCTGAGAAATAGAGGTTGTTTTCACACACACTCACTCACTCTCTCCCGTAGCTTAGTCAGCTTTTGGGGCTGGAATTAGTGTGTGGAAATACCACGTGGATATGCAGGTTAGTGCAGGTATTTTTGATGTCGACCTGCACCAGTGAATGTACTGGGTTTGCATACAAATGTGGATTTTCATTAGCTGCGTTGACTGTTGGCACTATGAAATTATGAAAGAAAGAAATGGCAATGGTTTTTGAACAGTTTTTGGTATGATCCATACTCCCTGCATTCAGATGGTGCACGTAAAATTTTTCAGGTGCAGGTACATGTAATTTTCAATGTTACCTGCACCAGTGCAAGTAATATGCAGAAAAATGTATTTCCAATTCCAGCCCTGTTCTTGTTTTGGCTGTCGGTTTTATACGGGCATACATATTGATAGCTATACACTGCAATCCTTAAATATACTAAACACTAAGTTAAAGTGACATACGTTCTATACATTCAAAATGTATGGAAATAATTTTACACCAGAAAAGAAGAATATAGAGTACACGTAGTTGAAATAGTTTGAACACAGGTGAACACTTGCAGGCAAATGTCATTTGGGAAGGTAATTTCCATTCACGAAATTCCAACTAATGGCATAATGTACCGCAAGCAATCTGCCAAATTGAATTGGGAGAGCAGGCTAACTGTGCTATTGTCAGTGCCCCAGAAAAGACCTCTATAGCTAGAGTTTTGACTTTTAGGTGTTCCTCATAATGGAACCTGTAATATTTCCCACAGGTTGAAAGATGAGAAACAATGTAGAATTATTATGATTTATAGTGTTTGTTGACATACAATTCCATACAGTTTTGTTTGTATTTGAAGAGACTTTATTTCATGGTCGGAGGCGCAATGAGGTTTTTGTTGTGTTCACAGTTGTAACAGTTATTTAGTACATGTACACTTAATTAGTATTACTTTGATGGAAAGTCATACACTTTTGTATTTGGATTTCGTGGTAGAGAGGTCACTCCAAAGACTGCACACAATTTATAAAAAAAACGTCTGCCAAGATGTAGACATTTACAGTATAGCACTTTACAAATATTATATACACATGACATGGTATGATTTGTATAGCAGGGTACCAACCAGGACTGGGCCTTTATTTTAGAAGGACATTGGTTTTTGTTGTTTTTTCATCTTACTTGTTTCAAATTTTACTCATTGTCTAAGTGAATACAAAGTAGCGATGCATACCGGTTCACTGGACTTGGATCCGGACTTGTAAGAATGCTTAGGTTCAAGTAAAAAAAAACCTAAAAGTCAAGAACCGAGTCCAGACTTATCACCATAAAAGACCATTTCACATACCTCTTTTCTTTCCAAACCACCTAAAACCTTCCGTAGATTGCAAAATCTTCGCTGCAAAATGAAGAAAACATTGTACTGGGCATCATCAAGTACCGGCCTCCATGTTATGTGGCCAAAGTTTCACCCAGACAACATTGCAAGGTTGCCAACATGCAATTTTGTATATCACTATATGCCATGGGTTTAGGTCCGGACGAACCTAAACCTCTGGACTTGAATCTGGACCTGAACCTAAATGTGGGTTTAGGTATGCAGCACTAATACAAAGTTTTTAGACTTGTAAAGCACCGTGGTATAAATTGTATTGGCTTTTGGTGTAGCATGGGTCCAGAACAAGGTGTTAACAATTGAAGAAAGTGGCAGGGGTGTTTGCCGTCAAAGATAAGTCTTCCCAAAATAGCCACGGTTGATTCACGACGGTACGCTAAGCCGCTGTGTCAGACTGCGACTCTGAGGTAATCTTTTTTACCCCAGCGGGGATCACGACTACACCTAGAATTCTGATGAGGGCCTTATTTTTGCAGATAGTCACTTGCCGAGTGTGAAATAAGAGTCTTTGATAAGTTAGGGCTCAAAATACCAGTCCTGCATATGCAGGTTAGCGCAGGTAAAATTGGAGCTGTGCAGGTATTTCTGATGTCTACCTGCACCTAACCTGCACTGGTCCATGTACTGGGTATATGGAGGTTAGTGCATGTAAAATTGAAGCTGTGCAGGTATTTCTGATGCCTACCTGCACCTAACCTGCACTGGTCCATGTACTGGGTATATGCAGGTTAGTGCATGTAAAATTGGAGCTGTGCAGGTATTTCTGATGTCTACCTGCACCTAACCTGTACTGGTCCATGTACTGGGTATATGCAGGAGTGCAGGTAAAATTGGAGCTGTGCAGATATTTCTGATGTCTACATGTACCTGCGCCTAACCTGCACTGGTCCATGTACTGGGTATATGCAGGTTAGTGCAGGTAAAATTTGGAGCTCTGCAGGTATTTCTGATGTCTACTTGCACCTAACCTGCACTGGTCCATGTACTGGGTATATGCAGGTTAGTGCAGTTAAAATTGGAGCTGTGCAGGTCTTTCTGATGTCTAGCTGCACCAGTCCATGTTCTGGGTTTGCGTTTCATTTACTGTTAACGCTGTCTTTTCTTGCCCTTTGAACCATTCAACGCCAAGACGGTTTACCACAATGCGTGAAAAAAATCACAAACACTGGCTATTTGTTATGTAAACTGTCACAATCCGCCATGTAACTGACTGAAACACCTTCCAATTTTGTCACTTCTACCAACAGTCACCATGCCAGGAAAAATGCTAGAGAAACATACATGTAGACAGATGAATTTCTGTTACCAAGATAGCTTGGTGACCTTTTGTGATCTCTTAGTAGCATGTGCATGCTTATATCTAGGTGACAACTACCCTCAAGACAATTTCTGATTTATGGCAACACTTAAGAGTTGAAAGTTACGCTCTGAGTTATAATAGGTGAAAAGGAGATCTAAAACATAAGAGTACCCAGTACATTTGCTTTGAACAGTGTGATGTTACAGCACTGGACTTCACCACATCTAGCACAAGGTGA